CGGGTACCTGAGGTGTCCGACGTTGTAGAAGCGGCTGGCGCCGTCGGCCGAGCGCACGGCCTTGAGGGTGAACTGGGGCTGGAGCTGGCGCAGCTCCAGCAGCACCACGGCCAGGTAGTGCACGAAGAGCAGGGCGTCCACCAGCGACACGGCGAACTGCACCACGCCCCGGTAGTCGCGGTCGCGCGAGTCCAGGATCCTGACGCCGTAGAAGAGCCAGTAGGACACGACCAGCAGGAAGACCAGCACCATGAGCAGCGCCCGGAAGACGAAGACGCGCGGGAAGAAGGCCTTGGGCCGGCGGAAGAACAGGGCCCAGCTGCCCAGCAGCAGGATGAGGAGCTTGAAGGCCACGGAGATGAAGAGCCCCTCGCAGGGCGTCCCGCAGGGCTCCAGCTCGTCCCGCCACAGCAGCTGGGGCAGCAGCAGGAAGGCCAGGGGGGTGAGGAAGGCCAGCAGCGCCAGCGCCCCGGCCAGCGCCACGCCCAGGTGGCGGGAGCAGTCCAGGTGGGCGCTGTCCTCCATGTCCTTGGTGATGCGGGTGATGTCATCGTGGGAGATGCTGTGCTCCGACGTCCCCGTCACCACCGTGGTGGTCTCGCCCCAGTTGTCATCCTGGAGGGGGTTATACGGGGGGGGTTACACGGGGCAGGGCCCTCAGCAGACCCTCCACCCCGGCTCCGAGCCCACCCACCACACCTCGTCGCCCGGGGCGCTGCTGGGTGCTGTCACCCCCATTTGGGGTGGTGGGATCTCAACCCGGCAGGGATTGGGGCGGGACCCTCTGGAAAACCCCCCGCCGGGGCTCCTTTCCGCGCTCCGGCACCGGCGAGGGCGGCTCTGGGAGAGTGGGAAGTCTCCTCCTCGTCGGTGGGGCCAGAAGGAACATGCCCGGCTCCTGTCCCGACACACCCGACGGGAAGGAGTCCCTGGGATCCCAGCAGGATCCTCCTCCTCCCCAGAACCTCCTCCTGCTGCGGCCGCAGCGGTGCCCAAACAGCCCCTTCCCGTTTGATCCCTTCCCACACGTCTGTCCCCGCGTCCATCCCCTCCCTCAGCCCTTGGTTTGCAGCACTCGGACCCCCCTGGAACTCAGAGGGTTGTCATAGTGTAGGTTTTCCCATGGATTTCTTCAGGAAAGCCGGGAAATTCCTCCCTAAGAGGGGTGGGGAGGCCCTGGAAAAGGTTTCCCAGAGAAGTCGTGGCTTCCCTGTCCCTGGGAGTGCCCAAGGCCAGGCTGGACATGGGGCTTGGAGCAACCTGGGGCTGGTGGGAGGTGTCCCTGCCCACGGCACGGGGTGGGACTGGAGGAGCTTAAAGGTTCCTCCCAACCCAAACCCAACCCATTCCGTGATTCTGTGAATTTTATTTCAGGTTAAACCAAATCCTCATCCCGGGGCTTTCCAGAGGGACGGGAAGCAAAGGGTTTGGGGGGGCCTAGTTTGTATCCCAGCCCATCCCCTGGATGCCACGGCCGGACCGGGCAGGCTCAGCCTGGTGCCGGCGCCGGCTCCTGGGAGAGGGGAGGATGAAAAGAGCCGAAAAGAGCCGGAGCCGCCGGCGTGGGCGGCTGGGAGAGGATGAAAGGCCGGGATCAGGCTCCGCGGAGTCTCCGGAGGAATCCCGGCACCCACGGGAGGGCACGAGGGACCCCTGTGGGCCGGGGAGAGGCACGACACGGAGCCTCCTCCGCGATCCCGCCGGGAGCCGGGACGGGGAGCCGGGATGAGGAACCGGGATGGGGCTCCGGCCGAGCCGGGATGGGGCTCCGGGAGCCGGGATGGGGAGCCGGGATTGGGAGCCGGGATGGGGCTCCGGCCGAGCCGGGATGGGGCTCCGGGAGCCAGGATTGGGAGCCGGGAGCCGGGATTGGGAGCCGGGAGCCGGGATGGGGCTCCGGGAGCCGGGATGGGGAGCCGGCATCGCCCCCCCGGGCACGGTGTTGATCCCCGGGGAGCGGATCCCTAGGGATTGGATCCCTGGGGGGTGTTTTCCAGCCCGGGGGCACCGCGACAGCCGGTCCCCCGCCTTTCATTTGCTCCCCGACCCAACCGGCTCGACCGCTCCGTCGGGAAGCTCCGCCGGGAAGCACCGGGGCGTGTCGGGAGCCCCCCGCCAGCGCCTCCCACCCTTGGCAGCACCCCCCGAGGGTGGCACAGAGGTGCCAGCCCCGTCCTGCCCCCCGACTCACCCTCTCGTCCCCCCGGGTGGACTCGTTGTCCAAGAGGGGCTCTCCCGGCGCTTGGATGGTGACGGATTTATCCCCCCGGCTCCCGTCCCGGCTTTTGGAGCGGTGCCGGTCCCGCCGGTCCCTGGAAGGGCAAGAGAGGGGGAGCAGGGTGGGCACGGCAGGGCAGCAGCACCCACCGGGGCCGGGGGGACCCCTGGACCCCTCACCTGTGCTTGCGGGAGCTGCGGGAATGGCCGGATTTGTAGGAATATCCCGAGTACTGCGACTCATTGTCCATGTTGTCGGAGCGCCGGGGCTTGTGCCGCTCCAGGGCTTTGGATCTGCCCGGCCCCGGGACGGCGGCCAGGGCCTCCTTCAGGGGGGGCTTCTTCAGGCCCAGGGGCACCTTCAGGAAGTCGACCGTCACCTTGAGGGTCTCTATTTTGATCACCTGGCCGGGCTCTTCTCAGGAGAAAAGGACTCGCCCACCTGCGGGGGGGGGGGGGGACGGAGGGAAAAGGCTCAGCGGCGGCATCCCGGCATTCCCACAGGGAATATCCCGGCGAAGGGTCCCAGCCCCGGCAGCATCAGGGGCGGGACAGCAGCAGGAAAAAGGATTTTGGGTCGTTTTGGGCATTTTTGGGTTTATACCATGCCCGGGCTGGGGCCGGGCTGGCCGCCCTTCCCCCCAATTAACCGCCGGGATTTACACCTTAATTAACACAACCATCATTAGTTGAACTGCCAAGACAATGCCCCGGGTGGGGGCCCCGAAGGAAGGGGAGGAATAACCGGGTGCAGAGGAGGTTCCAAGCCCAGCTGGGCGCGGGGAGCTCTGCCCGGACACGTTCCCTACGCCGGGATCGGGATCCCACACCCAGGAGTGTCCGGGAGCAGCGATTCCCCGGGATGCAGCTCTCCAGGGGTCCGGGAGCAGCGATTCCCTGGGATGCAGCTCTCCAGGGGTCCGGGAGTAGAGATTCCCTGGGATGCAGCTCTCCAGGGGCTCCAGGAGCAGCAATTTCCCGGGATGCAGCTCTCCAGGGGCTCCGGGAGCAGCGATTCCCTGGGATGCAGCTCTCCAGGGGATCCAGGGACAGCAGGGAGCTCCCGACCCACACGGGTGTAAATCCCACGTGTGGTGCCCACCCACCCACGTGCAAATCCCGTGTCTGGTTCCACCGGGATGGGAAAACAAGCCCGTTCCCAAATCCCAGGCACACGGCACCGGGAATTTGTGGGATGCAGCAGGACCTGGGAGGTCTCCCGGGGTCCCACTCCAGCTCATCCCACTGACTTTGGGGACCCTGATGTGGGTTTGGCACTTTGGGGGCTCTGTCTCCCCCATTCCCGGGAGGGAATTTGGACACTTGGGATCCCCAGGGCTGCCTGATCCAACCCGGGAATGTCGGATCCCGTTGGGAGCGTCCTGCAAATCCTCCTGCCGTCACCCCTCGTGGCAGGGGCCCGGTCGCGTTTGGGAACCATCCCGGGGTTTCCAGGGAAATGCCATTTCCACCCAAATAACCCCCCGAACGTCTTTTCGGCCTCTTTCCCGAGGCCTCCAGGAGTGGGAGCCGGGGTCAAGGAGGCAAAAAAAGGGGGGGAGGCGTGTGTGGATGGATTCTTTTGTCCCAGATGCTGGATGCTCCCACATTTATCACCATGGAAACAAAAGCCGCTCCCCCCCCCATCCCCAGCGTTGTCTGGGAGATGGGAACGGCGCCGGGAGCTCGTCCCGACATTCCCGGCGAGGACTGGGGGAAGGGGCCAGCAGAGAAAAGACCCCCCTGTGCCCCCCACCCCCAACATCCCCCCCCCGCCTTTCCCGGGCTTTGTTTGCGGGCAGGGATCGGGTTTCTTGCCGGGAACAATGCCTGGAGCTGCCTCCACCCAGCCCCAGTGACACCAGTAAGAGGCCGGTACTGGGATGGAGGGGTGTGGGGGGGTGTCGGGGGTCTCTGACTCACCCGAGGGGCAGCGCGGGGGGTCCGGGCGAGGCGGCTGCAGGCGGGCACCGACCCCCGTCCCGCTGCTCACCGAGGCACTTGGAGCATCCGGAGATTCCAGAGGGGTCGGCATCCAGCTGGTGGGCACCCGGGGGGGGTCGGGCATCGAGGGCAGGGGGCTCACGGCGCGGGCGGCAGCGCCGGGGGGCCGCGGTGGAGCTGCGGGGGGCGAGAGAGAGAGAGAGAGGGAAATCAGGAATGCCCCGATCCCTCCGGGAATGTCACCCCGGGAGCGGTCCAGGACTCCCGGGAGGCCTGGGGAGGGAGGTGAGGGTGGGATGGATTCCCCCCTCCACACACACACCCCTGGCTCCAAAAACTGCCCAGAGTCACCTCCATGATTGATCAGTCCGATGAAATTTGGGGTTTTCCAGGGATTTGGGGTTTTCCAGGGATTTGACGCCCCCCGGGCACCACAATCCCGTGGGCAGCAGCCCCGTGTCACCCCCCAGCCAGGGGGTGTGGGGACCTCGGGACAACCCTGGCATCGCCACCCTGAGGAATCAGCCAAATTATCACTGGGATTTTCCATGTATCCCGATTTCCCATGGATTTAACACCCCTCAGCCACCACAGTCCCACACTGGAATTCCCCCCCCGGAATCCAGGGGTTCCCGTGACTGTGCTGGTGGTGTGGGGACATCAGGACAACCCTGGCATTGCCACCCTGAGGGATCAGCCAAATTATCTCCTGGATTTTCCAGGTATCCTGATTTCCCAGGGATTTAACACCACTTGGCCACCACACTGGAATTCCCCCCCTGGAATCCAGGGGTTCCCATGGCTGTGACAGTGGCATGGGGACATCAGGACACCTCCCCAGCCCCAAAAGCTGCCCGGTGTCACCGCCCTGAAGGATCAGCTGGAATAAATGTGGGATTTTCCAGACATCCAAGTGTCTCACGGCACCAGCCCACGGATTTAAGGCCCCTTGGCCACCACAGTCCCACACTCCAACCCCTCTGGAATTGTCCCCTCTGATCCAGGGGTCCCTGGGGTTGTCCAAGTCCCCGAGGCAAATCCATAGTGGGGGGATGGAGGTCGATCCATTCCAAGGGAAAACCAGGCACTGATTCCAACTGGGAGCGAGTGAGGAGCTGGGTGAGCTCCTTCCCAAACTGGTGATGAGCCACAGGCTGCAGGGAGAGGCCTTGGGGGGGGCTTTCCCAGGCTTTTCCAGGGGTGTAGATGGATTTTTCCGGCGTGATCCATGGATTTCCACACCCGGACCAAGGGTGGATCCTCCGTCCTGCCGGCGCCAAAACGGCCCAACTTCCTCCCCAGGGGCTGGCAGGGGAATCACCCCCATCCCAGCAGTTTTCCAAGGATAACTGGGAATTCAGGCAGCCATCCTGTCCCTGGAAGCAGGAGCTCCTCGTCCTCCCATGCTCCAGCTGGGAAAAGGGATGGTTTGGCCGGCAGAGTTGGGAAAAGCTGGTTGAGCAGCACGGGGCACTCCGTGGAGAGACTGGGAAGGGATTCCTGGTCTCCAGGAGGAGCAGCTTGGCCTTTCCCAGCCCAGGGAAGGGATTCCTGGTCTCCAGGAGAAGCAGCTTCACCTTCCTGAGCCCAGGGAAGGGATTCCTGGTCTCCAGGAGAAGCAGCTTCACCTTCCCAAGCCCAGGGAGCACCGGGAGAGCCGGAGCCGGATGCAAACGAGGAGGAAAACTCCCATTTTTAACAGCCAGGTGATTATGAACCCTCAGAACAGACTCTCCCCAGGGGAGCAGAGGGTTTTTGCCCTCTCCTGATGCCTTTCAAGCCCAGACTGGATGGTGGTTCCTGGGGATGGGGCTGGATCAAAGCAGGGGGAGCTCGGAAAAGTCTCTGCTGCCTTTGAGTCCCGAACCTCAAACACCTTTTGTATTCAAATGCTCCCCCAAAAAAATAATAAAAGAATAAAAAAATAGATCCAAGCGTTTGAAGGAGATGAAAAGGCTGGTTTCAAACAGCTCCAGGGTGAATCCTGAGGGGAATCCTCTCCTGCCACCCCTGGGACCGCTGAGAGCCGGACACGAGGCTTCCCGGGAAAAACCCTCTTGGGAGCAAAGGGCAGAGGGAGAATCCAGTGGCTGAGCAAATTCTCCTGGCCAAGAGGGTTTGGGGAGGGAGCAGGGAGCACCCACTGCCCCCGGTGCTCTTCTCCCAGCACCTGGAAATCCAGGACAATTCCCTAAAGGTTGGAATTAGGGCAGGAGCCCGGGATGTGGATCCAAGAGGGGGGGGAGCAGAATCCAGCCAGAGCTGACTTCCTAATGCCAGGAGCCACATCTGGGCAGGTGTTCTGCTCCTAGACAGAATCCCAGAATCCTTCAGGTTGGAAAAGCCCTCCCAGCCCATCCAGTTCATCCCCACCTTGTCCCCAGCCCAGAGCACTCAGTGCCACATCCAGTCCTTCCCTGGGCACCCCCAGGGCTGGGCACTCCCCCACCTCCCTGGGCAGCCCCTGCCAAGGCCTCAACACCCTTTCCATGGGGAAATTCCTCCTGCTGTCCAACCTGAGCCTCCCCTGGCACAGCTTGAGGCCGTTTCCCCTCCTCCTGTCCCTCGTTCCCTTCCAGTGCCCGACGACCTTTGAAGAAAAACCACGAAGTTCCCTGAGGTCCCACCCCCCTCCTACTCCTTGGGCATCCACCTCCTGGTATCCCAAATATCCCCAATGTCCCCAGTGTCCCCAATGTCTGGGAAGCAGCCACAGCCCTGCCAAGTCCTCGGGCTCTGGGGGGGGGGGGGAAGAGCCCAGCGGGGGCTTCCCGGGGAAGGTGCCCATTGTGTGGAGGCACCAGGGCGTGTTGGGGTAGCCAAGCAAACAAATCTGCTGCTGCTGCTGCTGCTGCTGCTCCCTCAGCAGGCCCATTTGGGCCGTTCCCAGGCCAGTTTTGGGGTCACCAGCACGGCCATCGCCCCTCAGGGGTCCCTGGGACCACCTCCCCAGGTGGAAAGGGTGTTGAGGCCTTGGCAGGGGCTGCCCAGGGAGGTTTGGAGTCCCCAGCCCTGGGGGTGCCCAGGGAAGGACTGGATGTGGCACTGAGTGCCAAGGTGGGGATGGGGCACGGGGGGCACTGGGTGACCCAGGAGGGCTTTTCCAGCCTCAGGAATTCCGTGACTGGTGAGGAAAAGCCCCGTGGGAGCTCCTGCCGGGATGAGGGGGCAGAGGGGCTCCCCGGGCAGGAGCTGTGGGCTCAAAACACATCCCACCTCTATCCAAGCCCCAAGCACCCAACGAGGAATCAGGGAGAGGCCTCCAAGGCAAAATCACCTCCCTCTCCCCTCTCACTCGCCCCTCCCCAAGCACAAATCCCAGTTTTCCTTCCTTTTCCTTGGCCCATCCACCCCTGGGAGCCGAAGCTTCGCCGGGAGCTCACGGCAGGTCCCTCGACCCCGAGGCTGAGTCCCCTTCCCGCCCCTGGAAAAGCCACTGCCGGCGGGAATCCACGAAATTCCAGCGTTTTGGTCGGTTGGGACATGGGAAAGGCCCCTGGGAAGCCCGAGGGGTTCAATCCGAGCCCCCCTGGGGTCTCATTCTGCTCTCCAATCCCTCAGCGTCGGCTCGGAGGCAGGAGGTTTAATATCCCTTCCAAAGTGTCACCTCCAATTAGGGTCACCCGGGATTGTTACAATATCCAGGGGAAGGGCCAATCCCTGGAGCTGCTCCGGCCCCGCCGCGGCTCCTCCGGCCGGGAATTCCCACTGAATTCCCACTGTGGGATGAAGCCCCAGCCCTGCTCCCAGTCCAGGAGTGCTGGGGATGCACCTCCTGCCCCTGGCATGGGGAAAAGTGGGATCTGGAACCACGGGGAGAAAAGGGAAGGGACCAAAGGCAGGGATTTGCTCGGGAACGGGGCTGGATGAAAAGGGGGAGAGGGGTTTGGGATGAAAAGGGGGAGAGGGGT